AATTGACCTATGATTATTTAAACATCACACTCTGTTTCGTTTTAATCTGGTTTCATTTTAATCCGCCACATTAATTAATGATTTTATTAATGGTAATAACTTCAAATATAAAAGTACCGATGACGACGATAGTACAAGCTTTGTATCTGAAAGTACAATATCTGAATATTTTGATTCCAACGACTATGATACAGAAATAGAAGCCTTTACTTTAGATGAAATAGGATTGAATAGAGCTAGAGCTAGAGCTTTTGTTGAAAATGATGAGATTTTTGACAATGAAAATTTTTGGAAAGATGATGAGGAATTTGAGGCATATTCGACATCTTCAACAAATTTAAATTTAATTACTCCAGATTTTTCAAATGATGATAGTATACTTATAGAAAACATCGAATCTAATATTAATAATACTGAAAAAGTATTGACTCCTTGCGTTATCTTGGATATAGTTGATAATCAAATTCAACAATGTTGTAATATATCTGTTCACCAAAGACCTCTTACACAATTAATTGGAACATGGAAAATTGATAAGAAAACTTTTGAAGAAGCAAAATCAGATGCCCAACTTCACAATCTTGGCGTTTGTTCATCTCATTTTGCGTACGACGGAGCTAAATTACATTCATCACATCTTAAAAAACAGCGATCAATTGAAAAGAGTTGGATATATATAAGACGTTGTCTTTTTTGTAATCAATATAAATCATTTTTTAGTCATGGAAAGAATTGTATAGAGCATTCAATACGCGTAATTGGAAGAAATATTCAAGTACCTTGTACTGGTCATAAAACTTGTTCTGTTTTTAATATAGAAGATATCTCAGATATAATTCTTACCAAATCAGAAGATGAATATAGACCTCGATACATATGCTCTCAATGCTTCAATAAACAAGGTGAACATTTCTATGAAAAAACAGGAAGTGGCAAAAATCGCAGTTTTTCTTGTATAGAAAAACATAAAAATGATATTACTGAAGCACTTCAACTTTTTGGAAATTGGATTTTGCAAACAGTAACTTCAAATAATAAAGAAAAAAAACAAGAATTATTGACATTATTATCAACAATTCTAATAACAAAAATGTTTACAAAAGAATCAAAAGAGTCAAAATCTCTTTCGAAACCTCTTAATCCTTTTATTATCAAAACAATATTTAAAATCGGGCAAATAAATATTTCAGAGCTTTCAAATAAATATTTTAAATTCACCCCAGAAATTTCTTCTCAAATTGGAGAACAATTAGGAGTTGCTGTCTGGAAATCTCGATCTTTAATACATCAGAATAAAGAAAAACTTGAATCACCTTCTTCTTTAAAAGAATATCAAAATTCATTTCCATCTTTTTTAATATCATTTTTCAATTTATTTATTACAACTTTACATACGAAAAAATATAAAGTCATTTGTCAAAAAAGAACTAGTAGAGGTCAATCAATACCAGCTTTTGATGAATCTCGGGCAAATAAGATTTCAACATTTCTTACTTCTATGATATTCAATATTGCTTCTCCTGCTACAAATCTATGACTTAATTATATTTTATGCTCACTTGGACGCAAACCCAAAATGATATCATCTTTTTATGCAATTCTGTATACAGCAGGCATTATATCTCATAGTAAGCGTTATGAACAACAATTGGAAAAAAATCGTATGAATCAAACAAAACCAGAAACTAGATTAATTCGAGGAAATAATATTTGGAATCTTTCAGTAATAGATAACATAGACTTTGCAGAACGAACATTTGCTTATGGAAATATATTTGATACTACTCGAAATACCTTTCATGCAACACTAAGAATGGTTTTTCAATTTAGTTTATCGAATTCTATTGAATCAATTATTCAAAATTCATCTAATAACGATAACACTGATAATAATAATAATAATGAAAAAGAACTTTTTTTATTGGACAATCATCTTTTACAAATCAATTATTAAGTTTATATGAAAATTTATTTGTCAAATTATTAGACACAAAATTAAAAAACTTTGAAGCTGAAGATATCATTCAGGAAATAGGAGAACATGTACCAACAGGATGTCAAATACCACCACCTAATGTTGTTATATTAAATCCAGGAGAGAATCCTAATAATGACAAAAATGTGCACGAAGCATGTTCAATGTATTTTAATGATGTGGGTTTAGAAAATACTGAGTATGTTGATATAGCTTGTGATGAAGCTTTATTTAAATGTTTAATAACATATAAGAACAATCAACCAAATATTAAAATTAGACCATTGCTTGGACAATGGCATATATCCAAGGATATGTGCAGTGCTTTAATCACAATATTCTCAGGATATGGTATTTTTAATCTAGCTGCTCGCTTAGGAGTTTATATCAAAAAAAGTTGTAGATTATTCAGCAACTTGTCGTGTACTAGAACTAATTTGGGTGGCAGTTGGATGTGTAATTACTCTATATATTCAACAAAAAGGAAAGTCATTACAAGATTTAAAATATGAAACAAATAAAGTAATAAAAGTATGGTACTATTATTTTTGTTGGTGTGCTTTTTGGTTAGAACATAAGCTTGATATTAGAAAAGAAAATTTTCAAATGCAATTTGAAAATCTGGCTGCTTTCTTACTACTTTTTCCTGTAGCCGGAAAGAGCAATTATGCTAGATCTGTTATACACTTTTTATTTTATGTCAAAAATGATGATCATCTTCAAACACTTTTCAAACAAGTATGTTCTGTAAATCTCATTTCTGATGAACATTTCTTTGGCTTTGATGAAGCTTTGGAAAGATTTGGAGTTTAATTTATAAAATAAAATATTAATAGAAAATCTCTAACCAACGAAGAATTAAAATTGCATATATTCTCTGCACAAGCAGAAAAAGATCGCTTAACAATGCTCATTTCAGAATATGTGGGTGATGAAACTCTTATCAGAGAAAAAAGAACTATAAAATCTTGAAAAGAATCTCTCTGGAGATTGGTTAATGACTTGGTAGATGCATTTTCTCGATCTGATTCACTTTCACATGAACTTTTTATAGATACAAAAGAAATGAATAAAGCAGGATTTCAAAGATTATTTTCTTGTTACGATCTGGGAATTATACGTCTTAATGCAATTTTGAGGCAAGATGTTCTTAAAATTGAAATGCGAAATGTAAAAGGACGTCGAAAACGTGATATTGTATCATATAAATGGCAGAATTTGCAAACTAAGAAGATTGATAATAAAAGCAAAAAATTATCAACTATGTTATCAACTACATCATTAACATCTAATCCTATAAGACAACATAAACATCGAACTATAGAAAAAGAGAAAGAAATACTTGAGCAAATTCTTTTATATGAAAAGTTTCCTGCAAATAAACTTGATAATATTCTTCTTCAACTTCAGATAGAATCAATGGAATGGACTGAGACACGTGTAAAGACTTATTGGAGAAATAATCATTTGACTAAAAAATGATCTCTAGAAGAGAAATAATAATACTAATAACAATAATCATTTCTATTAATAATTTATCTTAAACAATTGTTAAATAAAAAAATGATAACTAATATTAACTTTAATTACTAAAACCAATAACAATTTGACAGTTATTATTACCATTAAATTATTAATTTAATTTATATGAAAAATACAATTATTACATCTGAATAACGATAACATATTTCTTTGCCATTTTGAAGTATCTTGAAATTATAATGTTAAAGATATGTAAAAATTATCAATAACTTCTCATTTATTTAGAATATATAATCCAATTTAAAATTAACAATTTAAATAGATAAAAGCTTATTCGTTATCATCGTTTTTTCATATTTTTATTTTTAAAGAGTTGAAGAGCATTATTAAAGTTGTTCATATCAAACATTTATATTTGATGAGAATCTGTTATTACTATATTGCAGATCATGAGATATTTCCTGTGACTGATAAAAATTCTAAGCATGATTATTAAATTAGTATTCATTACCTCTCTATAGAACTTTACTTTTTATTTAATCTGAAAAATGAGCAATTACATCAAAATTCACGTTACTAAATAATAGTTTATTAAAGGTTTGGGAATACGGTAGTCAAATTCATGAAATTCTAGAGAATTGTTAGCATTGTGATAAAAGTATTGTGGCAGAACTACAGAAAACACAGAATATTATATTCCGTCAAGTAGATTTTCATAATTTGGTGCGAGAATTTAAAAAAGCAATTGGAGCAACTTATTATAAAACATTGAACAAATAAATTTGTGAGTCATTTATAAATGCCATCAAGAAATTATGCTCTAACCATCTCTACAACATTTGAAAGAGATTGTTTTAGAACAAATTACGCATAAATCAGAGAAACAAAGCATGAAATTGAACTTGAAAATGGAAGAAATATCTTATTGTGCAATCCCACAACAAGGAAATGATGAACAGACTTTATGGCTTCACTATTTCTCTTGAAAAGAAATCATTCATCATTTTTCTCGATGCAATTTATGAAATAACCAAATATAAAGATCTTTGATACATTTTGCTTCATCTGATCCAAAAATTGATAAAAGCTATATAATATTAACGTCATAATCATTGTGTTCAGATTCCACTAGCAAGATCTTGTTGCACGTCTTGTGAATTGTGACTCTGTACAAATCAAGACTATTTATATGTAATTCCTAAAAGAGAATCTTAACAAGAAAAGACTAATATAGTAAATCAAAAAAAGCAATTGCTTCTTTATATTGTATCATCAGCAAAAAGAAAATTTTATAATTCCAATACTTTAGTTGCTTATATATATATATATATTTACTAATTTTATATTTTTGCAATTGGTTATCAACATTCTGGATCTTATATATATTGAATATATAGTAATAGGAACTTTTTGGTAATTTGAGAAAGTTCTAAAAAAGTTGAAAAAATTAATATGTATTAATTGAAAATCAATTACATATATAGAACATTTTTATTGTACTCTTCAAATCAATGATCTATCTCAAATTGATAAGGTATTTTCTCTGCTATCGCGACGAATTCAAAACATCATTTACAAACTGGACAGTGAGACGAAATTTACTAATTGAAAAATGTACCATATACATGTATCGATATATGCAGGATTGACAGCTCATCAACTATTGTTCCAGTAATTTAATAAATATAACCCCCAAAAATAAGCTACCCTCCCCCAATTTTTCAAGCCAAAAAAAAGATAGCTTATTTTCGAAAATATACTGTACTCAATTTCACGAAGGGAAAATAATACCGATACGTAAATGAGTACATACTTATCGTTATTCATATTGTTTGGATCGATATTGTGAAAATCAAATTTTTAGGTATGATGCAATAATTATGAAAGCCCGTTGTATGTTTGCTGCTTTGGTAGAAACTTTGGTGTAAACTTTGGTGTCTGTGACAAGATTAAAGCAAGTTTTTACGAAAATGTAGAACCAAATTTTATAAATTGTAACAACTTTACAACTTTATCAACTTTAGCATGATAGCTTTGACTACATTATATACGTTAAATCGGATTAAATTGAATTATTGATTTAAAAAAATCTCGTCTTTCTTTAATTCTTGTTTGCTTCATTATTTACAAAATTTAACAAGTGAGAAAACTTCTTTCGCATGCTGCCAGAGAATTATCAGTTTACAACAGACGGGTAATAGATGATAAGATTTCTCCTGCTGGAAAAATCATTAAAAGAAAATTGTAAAATATTTATTCAGTCCCAAATTCCGGAGCATCTGGAATTGTCTTTCTTATTATCCCCCCATTATTTTAAGACGAAATCATCGATGCCGGAAGATTCTTATCTGCCGCAGTATTTGTTAGGTTTCATAGGCGAGAAAATTGCTGCCGTTGAATAACAACCAAATATTCCAAGGATTCTTTCTGTACTAAAGTATAAACAACTTGTATTACTTTAACAAATGGGATGATATTGATATTGTTGGGACAATTTATTCGAAGTCCAGATTGTTTTGCCTGCTGTTTTCTGCTAATAAACGATTTATAAATTTACCAAACTTTCAAGATGACGCCTTCATGGATGGGACGCTACTTTTTACAATCACTTTAGCAACTCGAAATTTGTTAAATATGGATATTCTTTATCGTTATCAAAGTTAGCAACACAAAAATGCGATGCATATTTGTTATCTATCTACTGTGGATACAAGTTAGATCAGGTTATTGCATGCTGACATCAAAACCCAAGCTTTGATGTTAATAAAATTTCCTCTTTTGTTTTATCTTCCATAACAAGCGCCAAACCGACTAAAAAGGAATATGTGTTAGTATGATAAAAAACATACGTACAAACACAAGATCCACATTTCTAGCTGCGCGCGCAATGTTTCACTATCCGACGGCGGCGTAAACATAAAATGGATAATTCTGTCTGTGTAATCTTTGCACAGCATATATGACATTTACATGCTGGCTTCTTCATAGGTGTCATGTGTGCAGATGTACGTGTGAAAATGCGTTTGTATCAAAGATACTAATTTTGTTTAGGAAGCTATTTATCATTAACATGCGTTTTTTAATTTCTTGATTGATAACTTGAATAATGCGTTATACTATCGCTATGTATTGCACGTTAGATTTCGTAACATTGAAGAATACTTACTGCGTGATGATGTTTGAAATGAGAAATGGAATTTTTCATTTTATATTTTAATTTATAAATTAGGCTTTTTATGACGCGTAGTCGATCAATCACACGAGTACAATATAAAAAAGAAACGTTGATTGCGGAAGAGAGGGGAAGAATGAGTATATACTGAGTTAATTAATAAAAGATAAATAAAATCGGCCATTTGAATGATCGATACAAAAGGACAAAGAAAAGTGCGGATTGGACGAATGCTATATAATAAAATATATACAGTAAAAAGTGTATGAATGATGAATGATGAACGACAAAAACGAGAATCTTGATATACCTAACGTATGCCGTAATTTGATTATTATATTAGTGTATAGTGTATAGATAAAGTTCTTGTAATTTTTTTTGCTCATACTCGTGTATCGTAAAAGAGAATTAAAACAAACAGATATAATGAAATAAATATCATTAATTATCAGTCATGGAAACGACCTTTCGGTGTATCTTCATCTATTGAAAAGTAACCGGAAAAGAATGCAGTATTAAAGAAACTACATTCTTCGTTGTATCTGTTATCTTCAATTTTGTAGTCTTCTTCGTCGAAGTATTGATCAGAATTAGAAAAGTAAGTTTCTTCGTGATTAAATATAGAAACAGGTGACGACGATAAGGATAATTCATTATTTTCGTAGAATGGATTATCGAGCTGTGTATATATTTGCGTAAATGTTAGATTCCGCAAACTTGAATGGAAAATAACACGTAAACACTTAATACATACGAATTTAGCATCTTCAAAGTTATCTTCAAAGTCATCCATTAACAACAGACCACTCCAATCATCAAAGTGCAAAGTATATTTATTCTTTCGTTGTTTTCTCAGAGTCAATGGCGTTGATATCACCTTTTTTGTTTGTTTCTCCCCAATTAACAATGGTTTTTCAACATGAGTTCGTTTCTCTCTAATTATCAACGAATCTTCAGCAGCATGAGCTTTAAGATATTCGCTCAACAACTCATTATACTGTTCATCGTCGAATATTTTAACACCTGGCCAATTATCTAAGTCTTCGGATTTGGGTGTCGAACATTCTGACGATGATAACGAGGAAAGCTCGCTTCGTGAATCTTCATCTAATATCAGATTATGATGATTATTATTATTGTTATTATTAATCGAACGAGTCTTAAATTCTTGACTGAATATTTTTATCGCTGACGATAACAATCTAGTTGGAAATGAAAGAAAGCTTTTAGTAGAAATGGAAACGGAAGAATGTTGTGTGTGATAATGATGGAGGTGGTGGTGATGGTGGTGGTGGTGATGGTGGTGTGAAGAAATTGTTTGTTCTTCGTCATATAATAAATGTGAAGAGCTTGTGTTATCTCTTATTTGTTTTTCTTGCTCTTCTTGTGTTGGTTGCTGTAACTCGTTTGTCGTTGACATCGTTAAATTATTATTAATGAACGGGAAAACTTGACGAGCAAAAAAATTAACTTGTAAATAATTGGGATAACGATAACATATAATAACTATTATTAAAAATATTGATATATGATATATGTATTTAATGGAAAAGAGAAACAAGGAGCACTATCGGCAGTGTTATATTTATTTAATTTGTGCGCACCGACAGACACATTAAAGTTTTAAAAAAAAGGGGTTGGTTGACTGTCTCTATTCTCTTAACACCCTAAAACGAAATGCGTTACTGTTACACTTCAACTTGATATGCCGATATCATTTATATGTGTCTAAGTCAATAACGTTAATAAAAATAGTTGTCATGAGAAAATAATAACGACAACGATAATGATACATTATATTGTCGATCATTGATTGTTTAATAATTGATTTATAAAATTAACCTGTTTATTTTTATTATAACTTTCAAGGATAGAGATAGTGATAGATCATGAAACATATAGCTGGTTTTGTTAAACAATGAAAAGCGAAAGCCAGTAATAGCAGAAATGACAAAGAAATATTTTTCTCGTCTGATTATTACGCAAAAATGGTTCTTTTATTAATAGGATAATTAGAACAATATACCTGGGTTATAGACTTTGACTAATTGCTAATACATGTATTTAACAGATGTTTTCAGATTGAGATTTAACAATAATTCAACAAATTGTTCAACTTAACAAAATGATTTTTTACTGTATGGTTGGTTATTCCAGGTTCCAGGAGTGTACGGTTTAAACTGAGTATTGCGTGTTAGATTAAATATCGATATGTCGATATTTATACTTCAAAAAAAGCAAAATAAACTATCAAATAACAAAATAATAAAAAATTATTATTCCTCAAAAAGCAGATAATACACAAAGTTGTTTTTTATTTATTAAATTGTTAATGATTAATATATAGTGTAAAAACATATAAAAACTTAATCAACTTACTTTGCAATTAGAAAAACTTTCTCAGGTTAATCAAAAAATTTGAAAAAAATATATGCTAAAATATGTATTATTGTATTTGTATAAAAATAAAAATTATTGATTAATAAAATTGAAACTTTTATAAAGAAAAAATTCACATTTTATTATATTGATTTAATAGATTTTAATGCTGTTGCATTTCTTTGAATATCACTATATAATTTTTATTTTTTTTATAATACTTAAACTTAAATAATTAATAAATTAATATATATTATAAATATATTAAATTAAAAGTTAAATATAAAGAATATTTATAATCTTAACTGTAACTCTAATTTAGATTTTAATTAGCCAATTAAAATGTGATTATTATAAATAACAATTATTATAAATATTATTATTAAAATTTTTTATTTTTTTATTTATATTAAATTATTTTTTATTTTTATTTATAAAAAATTGAATATTTAAAATTTTATAATATATAGTGATTAATAAAATTATGGTCTTATATAATAGTTTTCAATTTTATTAATAAATATTTTTAATTTTTATATTAAAATAAAGATTATAAATTATATTTTAACATATTGCAAAATTATTGCAAAAATTTTTATAATTAAATTTATACTTTAATTATAAAAAATTTTTATAATAATTTTGTAATTTTATCAGATCTAAAAAATATATTTAAAATATAATTTATTAATAAATTAAAATTTTTGTATATAATGACAATTAATAATATCAAAATTTATTAATTAAATATAGTAAAATATAAATTTTTCTCTTTATATAAAAATTTTTAATTTTAATAATAAAAATTTTTTATTTTTATACTAAAATAAAGATAATATCATATATTTTAACATATATTTTTTTCAGATTTTTTAGATTTA